AACCCTGATTCATTTCTTCATTTGATAACCATACACTTCCCTTTAAAATATATTTTTTTTTAATTTTTGGTACTGGGGCTTGAACCTAGAGGCACTTAAGCACTGAGCCACATCGCCAGCACATTGGCAGTATTTGCATACTTCATTTTTATTTTTTTATTTTGAGATAGGGTCTCACTAAGTTGTGGACACTGGCCTCAAACTTATAATCCTCCTGCCCCAGGCTCCTGAGTCACTGGGATTACAGGCATGCACTACCAAGCCAGGCACAGTTCACATCTTGATAAAAGATTGTTTGTGAGGACATTTCCCATAAGTTCATCTAGTGTTATGCTTTAAAATAATCACAAGGATTCTTAGTGGAGTTTACTCAAATTAAGATGTATTATCATAATTTGTGGGTCTAAGCAGTTACTGCTTATAGAAGCTGCAGTCTTCTGATAGTATATTTTCTCTAGACACTGTATTTACTATTCTTACTAAATTACCTGGGGCCTAGATCTTGTCTCCACCCAGATGAAAGAGAGTTGTCAAATAGCTCCTTTCCTTAACTTGAAATCTATAACCCCAAATAATTAACATGCAGGTTTGGATGACTGGCTCTGCTTTTTGGAGAGGATGTTATCAATAACAGCCTTTTCTTTAGGAGAAAAAAAGGTTAGTCTTATTCCTTCTTTAAAAAATAAATAAGTCAACAAAAACAAATAAAAAACCCATGCCTATTGCCAACAAAAGTAATAAAGAACATGGTCAATGCTTATGAAGTCCATTCAAAGGGCCTTGGATAAATTCCAGATCCTAGGATCTTTTAACTACAATTGTATTGAAAAGGAGTTGCTCCTTGGTCCTGTTAATCCTGGGGGGTAGGATTCACCACTCCTGCTGAATCATCATAGGCCAGTGAACAGTGGATGGCTGCACCCTGAACTGAACTGAAAGAGGTAAAAGTAAAAGCAAGAACTATCTCAATGACTTTTCTCTTTGCTAACTGGCAGTATATAGCCAGGTAAGGAATTCTCCTTTTACAAAACCACTTAATTTGAATCCTAGGGAATTGTTTCAACTCAGAGTTCAGTTTCCATTGCACTTCATAGAGTATTTCTGTTAGTGATTCTTTTGACAGGAAAGCAGACACAAGATCCCATGAATTGACAATCATCTATACAGCTTGTGCTGCCAATGTGAAACAAGTTTGGTCTTGAACCTGTAAGTCCAAATTAATCAACAGTACTGCGGCAGAGAAAAATAGGAACTTTAGCAGCTTAAGAGCTGACAGGCTGTGGTTTTGCACACTGACACACAACAGCTCTGCTTATTGACATTTAACCATAGAGGCTTGCAGTGTCTAACCGATACCTGTAAAAGATAACTGCAGTAGCAGAAGCAGGAAACAAAGCAATGGGGACAGAACAATCCCCCTTTAGGCTTAGTGCAGTAAAGGTCTTTAAGTTGTATGAGCTAAGATTCCCTAGGCTGTTGACAAGCTTGCATCCATGTAAGGAATATAGAATGCACCCTCCAATAGAACTGCACCAACTCCCTTGCCTTGAGGTACTCAAACTTGCTTATGTATAAAAGTAAAAGCTTTGTGGTACTCAGGACTCAGACTTTGGAAATTATCCCTCTGGGCCACAGCAACACTAATAAAGTATTGCTTCCAGATCTTTTGTGTCCTGACCCTCATTCCCTGCTATAGTATTACTTGGTAATAGTTAGGAAATCAGACATTTAATTATAAACTCCTGCCTTCAGCATTAGTATAGAGGTAATCGTTCTCACCAAATCAAAATCAGGTAGCTGCTTCAACACACACACACACACACACACACACAGAGCTGCTGTTGTAGCTCAGTGGTAGAGCACTTGCCTAGCTCATGTGAGGCACTGAGTTCAATCCTCAGCAACACATAAAAACTAAATTAATAAAATAAAGTTACTGTGTCTATCTACACCTTAAAAATTAAAAAACAAACACACACAAACAAGTACCTAATTTGTCCCAAGAAGCTGATTCACAATGATATACCTAGCCTAATTCTCTCTTTAGATCAGAAGCCAGCTTGTCACAAGTTATGAAGGATTCATTTCTGTTTTCTGTAAAAATATTAGGATGTCTGTATGGCCTGGCCATTAGTTAATGTTGTAAAGCTGATTGGAATGCCTGCCCCTGCCCTGAACTCACCCATGCCCGGTTTTCCCTGACCAGATAACAACCCTTTCCTAAACCTTAGTGACGCCTCATAAATTCTGGCCTTCCCTGGCCGGATAACAACCCTCTATGAGTCTCTAAGACCTCCATAAATTCTGATGTTGGGGCCAGCAAAAATGTGAACTTGTGTTATGCTCCTCAGAGTTTTGTTATCTGTAACCCCCCTTTGTGTAACTTTTTGGGCTATAAAACTGGGCTGCAAGGAAGCTTGCCCGCTGTCCTTGGCTCCCACGATTTTGATGGGAAAGACAGCCCGGCCGGTAGAAATAATAAGCTTGCTTTAATTTGATTTTAATTGGAGTCAGTGGTCTTTTCTTGCGTCGTGGTCTAACAACAAGTCCTGGGGTAGGACCAAGCAACCATGTTTTCAAAAAAGGTTTCTAAGTGATTCTGATGCACAGAGAGTTGAAATTGTCATGCAATGCTGATATAAACAATTGTACATGATGGAGGGGAATGGGGTTCATGTATCTCAGAGGCAGGATAACCTGTGCCAACGATTATTCAAAGTACAGAAAAATATTTTGCATCTTTCTGGAATGTCAATTTTGCTTGAGAGATAAGCAGTTTAAAATATTTTTATTTTGGGTAGAAGTTATGTAGGTGTACATAACTGTCAAAACTCATTTGACTTTTGATAGTTTTACATTTGTGTTTATTAGATTTTAATAAGTATCATTTATATGTCAAAAATGACATTCTACTCTGGAGTAGAATGCAAAGTTTGCATTTACTCTTTAGATGAACTCTAGAGACTTAAAAAAATCTCCCTCTTAGATGGGCCCCTTATACAGGGTGGCAACCATTTAATTTTCCTCTGCTTAGGGTTGGGAGAAGAGTTTTTGAAAGGAAAAAGTTTTTGAAAGAAAAGTTTTTGAAAGAGGGGAAGGCTTTTTGAAAGGGCCTGAACTACACTTTGAAAATCTCTAGATTTAGAAATCCTTTCACTTCAGTGCTTCTCGTTCGTTTCACTGACCTGACTTGTCCCCCACTCATATTGGCTCTTTGCCCTCTATCACTGACGTTTTTGTTTAACAATATTACAAAATCTCAAAAAAATTGAATTCCACTTTTTGATATAATTGGAGACTTTGTTTGTTGGGGTTTCTTTAACTTTTAAGTGACCTTAATTTTTTAAGCTTTTTAAGCTTTTTTTTTTTAACTTTTTAGATTAGCTATTTTTATGTTTATTGATACTGAGGAAGCAATCTAATAACTGAGACAGCCTCAGAAATTGCACACCGAAACATCTTTCCCACTGTAGTGTTTTGAAAGGCTATGGGGATCAGAGACTGAGAAACTGATGTGATTCCATTTTTGAGAAACCAGCCTCTACCTCAGAGCAAAGCCTGTCTAAGGAAGGGGGTGTGGCCCTTGTCCTTGGAAAACCCCACAGAGCACTCCTAAGCACATACCCACCCTGCTGAGTTGTTTGTCTGCAAATAACAGGAGAGATCTGTGGTGCCAGAGGTCCCAGACTCAGTTAGGCTAGGTGAGGACCCATAGCAACCCCCTAGCAACCACCAATCAGCATGAGACAGGGAAAATACCTGGGATGCCAAATGACCCTCCCCTTAGTTTATGGTGGTTGATAACATGTCAGGAAACCATGTAATTCAGCAGTACTCCCCTCGTGGCTTAAACCAATCAGTTCGAAAGAATCCTCCTCTTGTACTAACCAATTACCCCTGACGAACTTGTTTGTGCCAGTGAATGTGCTAATCAATGTTAAGAGTTGTTGTTTGATTTTCCCGTGGTGTGTGATAATTTGCTAAGAGATGCTATGATGTATGTAAAGTCCCTGCCTTCCCCCAAAGAGTGTATAAAACTGCTGCAAACCCTGGGCTTGGGGGCCTCTCAGTGTCACCAGTTGCTGTGTGCGCAGAGGACAGAGCTAGCTCACAATAAACGCCTCTTTGCTGCTTACATGATCTTGGACTCTGGTGGTCTTTTTGTGGTCTTTTGGGGGTCCCGAACTCGAGCATATCAAGACTGGTTGTAGGTAGGGACTTGCCTAAAAATTGTGAAAAGCTGCATTTTCTGAATTGGAAACACAGTATTGGAGAGTAATGGGTCAGCAGCAAGGGTTGAATTTCTCCTATCCCAAGGGCCAAAGAGTGGGTAGCCGACAAGAGTAGAGTCTGAAGAGTAGAGTCAGGGCCTCAGGGCTTTGGGCTAGTTACTTTCTCTCCTCATGGAATCCCAGCGTCACCTACGAAACTGGGATAGAGTATATTTCTGCTTGCGGATTTAAGTAACGTGAATTACTATGATTTATGGAGTGCAATGGCACAAGCTATGAAGCCAGAGGATTTAGCAGCAAGACAACACGACCCACAGACCACTTCTCTGTTAGACGTGCTCCAGCCACTTGAGTTCCCGCAAGCTCTGCGCAGGCCTCAAACCCCTAGAACAGCCCAGGTGGGTCCGGGAGCTGGCTTGCGCCACGCCCCCTTCTCGGGGAAGCCCGGCCCTCCTTCCGCCCCACGTGCGCTTGCGCTACCGGTGCAGAAGCGTGTCAGGACAGTGGAGCGGGGTGTAGGCGAGAAGCTCCCGAGTTACGGCTTCTTACCTTCTCAGGATAGGCCGAGGCCTCCTAGTAGTCTTGCCTCCTTCTCACACCCTTACGCCGGGAAGAGGGCGGTTCATATCACACCTCGCCTGGAGCAGACTGGTTTAGACCCGCCTTTTCCGTCCCGTTATATAAAGCGGTTGGCTACCCTGCTGTCAGTCAGAGGCAGCAAGAGCGGCCTGAGAAAGGCTCTGGGTTTGTTTTGCTGGGCGACTTTATGTCAGCTTGGCTGTCAGCTGCGAGAGTGCTTTGAACTTTTAGGTGGAAAATGCCGGAAAGTAACTTCACAGAGTGGAGCGACATTAGCGCGGTGCAGGTGGCCGCCGGGTACCCAAGCGTTGTCTTGGAGACAGGAGATCGTGGGGGCGGTGTGGGTGGAGGCTTACAGAGGTTTCCTTTTGGCGTCCCCTAGGTAGGGGAGGATGCGGCGAAGTGGGTGGGACCGGGAGTTTATTCCCTGTTCTCTTGCCGGCAGGATGTGGAATTCGTGTTTGGCGTCCTAGGCATCCCGGTGACCACGGACATCCCCCTTGCATCCCAGGAGCTGGACATCAGGTATGTCGGGATGAGGAATTAGCAAGTGGTAAGGACTCTGGTAACCGAATGCATTATGGGAATGATAGATAATAGTAGCACCTGTTCATTGCAAACACTCAGTGTTTACCATTTCTCTAGTGCTTTCCAAATGCATGGTAGGCCAGTTCTCTCCCGCTGAGCTATACCCTTACTTCTAACTTTTAGTCTTCCTAGTTGGGAGAACCTTCTGTTCTTTTATCGAGAGAAGATGAAGTGATTGATCTATTAATACGAGCTATATTTTACTGTTTTTCTGGAAGTGAGTTTACCTGCCACTGCTGTCTTCATACAGAAAACATTTATTGAATGTGTACTGTGTTTTGGATACTGTGCTCCATAACTGGTGGAAGAGAGAAATATAAAGAAGGAATGAGGTGTAGTTTTGACCTTCAATTTGATCGAATTCTGAGAAGATAAAGGCAAGATATGCAGGAAAAAAACAAGATATACTTAAATAGGAAATGTAGTAGTACAGAATGGGTGACTGGTTCTCTTTGGGATTTGCTTGACTATGTGGACCATAGTGCCGCTGACTGAGACTGGGAAATATACAGGGAAGAGCCAATTTGGAAGGGAAAGGTTATGAATTCAATTTGAAATGTGAGTTTGAGATGCATGTGGGACATCCAGCACATATGCCCATTGGGCAACCAAGACTTAGTGCCTGAATTAAAGGAAATGACAGGATGATTCAGAAGGAATATGACAACAGGATCAGAAGACATTCAAGAGTATGTTTGTGTTAAAGAGAAGGGTGTAGTTGGGTATGATTTGATTGTCTTTCATCAGATTCTTGGAGTAATCAAGACATAATGATCATATTTGGCTAGCAAGTAGGCAGACTGTTGTAAAGTCAACTGTTACTGAGTTTACTGTGTTCAGACACTATTCTGAGTGTTTTACATGTATTAACTGATTTCATCTTCACAACAATGCTCTGAATTATGTTCACTTTATAGATGAGAAAGCCAATTTACAAGTAAGTTGCCAAAATTACACAGTAGAACCCCATAAAGTGGCACACACCTATAACCCCCAAGCTATTCTGGAGACTAAGGCAGGAGGCTTGCAAGTTTAAGGGCAGCCTTGGCAATTTAGTGATCCCCTGTCTCAAAAAGGAAAAGGTTGTAGCTCAGGGGTAAAGCACTCCTGGGTTCAATCCCCATTACCAAGAGAAAAAAAAGAGAGAAAGGTTTAAACACAAGTTAGGTATGGTGGTACATGCCTATAATCCAGCTACTTGGGAAATGGAAGCAAATGGTTGCCATTGGAGGCCATCCTAGGAAATTTAGGAATATCCTGTCTCAATTTTTTTTTTTTAAAGCTGGTGATGTAGCTCAGTGTAGAGCACTTGTCTGGCATGCTTAAGACCCTGGGTTTCATCTTCAGCAGCACAAAAAGAAAAGAAAGAGAATATTCAAGCGTAAAGATGTGCAGTGCTCTTAATACCAAAAATTATCCAGCAATTGAAAAGAATATTTAATTGTGGTATATGTGTAAAAAAAATGTAGCCTTTAAAAATTTTAAGAACTAATGACAAAGTAAAACATTTATAATAAGTAAAAGTGTATGAGCCAGTATTATATAAACTCATTTATAGAAAAAAAAATTTGCATATCAAAAAAGACTGTATGAAAAGAGCCCAGGGCACTAATAATAGCTTACAAGTTGACATTATTATGGGGTTATTTTGGAGTTTTCTTTATACTTTCACTATTTTTTTCCACATTATCTAAAGTGAAGGTGTTAGAAACATAATAAACAAATGAAATAAAATTTACAGTTTCTGTCCTAAGAGAAACACTACCTATGTGGCAGCTCACAAACCTGTTTGCCCTATGTGGTTTGGCCCCATCCCTTTTGATGTTTAATGAGTTATCTGCAATTGCTATTTTCTCCCCACCTACCATATTTATTCTACTTAGTTCATCTTGTACATTAGCATTTACACAGAGTAGGATTTTTATTACTTTAGTTTAAAAGATCAGATTTACCCTTTAAGCTAATTTGTAAGCTTAAAGTATAAATGAGCTCCAAACTATTTAGACTTCAGAGATAGTTGCAGAATAATTTAACTAAGAAATACAAATATGCTTTTTTGTGTTATATCAGATTTTTTTAAATGGGCCTCTGCAATTGGAGAGACTAAGTTGGATTTTACATTTGGGCTGCCTCCAACATAACAGCCATGTATTAAGTTTACACAGGTACTCAGAAGAGATTTCAAATGAGAGCTATTTGTGGTTCATTGTTCTCCTTCTCAGCCATTATCAGCTCTGCTTTCTTCTTGGCTTTTGTAAGGAACCTTTTCTATTTTTACAACAGTAGATTTTATAAATTTTCTAACATAATTACTGGTACCAAAGTAAGCTGCCTTTTCAAACCTAGAAAATGTAGTGTTACACTTCTGACCAGAAAACCTTTCAAAATCAAGTTTCAAATAGTTTGAAAAGCACAGTTTGCCTCTTCTTCATGTTTAGATATATTTAAGGTAGAGAAAAGAATTTTAAGTAGGATTATAGATTAAAATGAAACATTCAGCATTCTCTTTTTTTTTTTGAGAGAGAGAGAGAGAGAGAGAGAGAGAGAGAATTTTTAATATTTATTTTTTTAGTTTTCGGCGGACACAACATCTTTGTTTGTATGTGGTGCTGAGGATCAAAACTGGGCCGCTCGCATGCCAGGCGAGCGTGCTACCGTTTGAGCCACATCCCCAGCCCCAGCATTCTCCTCTTGATGACCAAGGTCTTCAACCTAAGACCTGTACCATGCATCACCTCTAGGGAAGCTAAATTATTCCTTTTTGCAAAATCCATTTTCATTTATCCAAGGCCATCCAGAAATGGAACTTATGAGCAAATGGAATAATCATGCCATATTCTAAGAGTGGTTCTCAGAATGTGGTCCCTAAGCTACCAGCATCAGCATCACCTAGGAAACTTGTTAGAAATGCACATTTCTGGACCCCATTCCAGAATTAATGAAATCAGAAACTAAGGTGGACTCCTGCAATGTATGGTTTAATAAGCCCACTAGGTAGTACAGGCTCAAATTTGAGAGCCCCTGCTCTAGGTAGGAATCCTTAATGATGTAATTCAGTAGAATTTTTTCTTTCTTTCTTTTTTCTTGTTTTTTTTCTTTTTGGTACCAGGGATTGAACTCAGGGGCACTTGACCACTGAGCCACATCCCCAGCCCTGTTTTGTATTTTATTTAGAGACAGATCTCACTGAGTTGCTAAGCACCTTGCTAAGTTGCTGAGTCTGGCTTTGAACTTGAGATCCTCCTGCCTCAGCTCCTGAGCCACTGGTATTACAGGTGTACGCCACCAAACCTGGCTCAGTAGAGGTTAGATTCAAAACTGTAATTGATCAGCTCAAATGGGACAATACCAGAATTCCATAGAGTAGATTTTAAAATGAGGGAAGATGATGAGGTTCTCTATACTATGATACTTGAATAGATCTAAGGATTTTTACTTTTTTTTTTTTTTTGAAAGTACTAGGGATTGAACCAGGGCCTGAAGCATGCTAGGCCAGTACTCTACCACTGAGGAGCTACATTCCCAGCCCTTTTTATTTTACTTTACTTCACTTCTTGAGTATCACATCTTCTTTATTAAATTTTACATATAACACAGTCTATTTATTCAGCCTTTATTGACTTCTTGGTGTTTTTTAGTTTGGTTTTTGATTTTTTGGTGGTACTGGGGATTGAACCCAAGACCTCATACATGCTAGACAAGTTCTCTTCCACTGAGTTATGTTCTCAACCCCTTAATTGACTTGTTAAATATTTTAAGAATAAACATGACTTGTTCTTCAGCTTTTTCTCTTTTTTAAGTTGACATCTGTGCAGAAGAATTGGAAAATAATGGTCTTCTTCTGGTGCTGTGACTTTGCTAGGAGACGTAGATGCTGTTACTAAACAGGTAGGAACTTTTGCCTAGGTTTTTAGTTTGTGTGAACTGGTCTTTTAAGGAATGGTTCTTGAAATATTAGTGTCTATTTTAAACCAAATTTGAAAAGGGAAACTATTCTAAAATATAACTTTCGAACTTGGTCTTTTTATACTTAGCTCGTATTTCTGTAAATTAAGCATTTTTGGAAGGCATTTAAAAATTTAAAGTCATTCAGAATGCAAATGGATTTACTAAGTAGGATACCACTGTCTGAAAAATTATAATGCAACTTCCAAAAGGAGTTTTGGGTTACAGCCCAAAAAATAGCTTTACAGGATGGAAATTTTTTTAGGTTTTTATTTTATTTTATTTTTCTAAGTTAATAAAGAGCTTTTACTCTCCCAAATTGCATTCAGTGATTTGTCCAGGTTCTTATTTTTGTATATATCTTATATATTCACTCCATTATGATAGGAGATTTAAAATATTGTCACATATATCACTTGATTTTGGATATTTGTTATCATAAGTATGTGATATTAAACTGCATCTCCAGTCACATATGAAATCACTCTGGAGCATTTGATCTGTATCACAAGACTCTGTAGGTGTTTATCAGCCTTTCTATAAGGGTTCTATGGAGGGGGTGGTTTTCTTTAAGTGTCAAAGACTAAAGAGGGCTTAAGAGCTCTTACCATAAGATGTAGAGATGGTGGCACTTCACTGTGTCCTACAGGAATCCCAGCATCTGGCAGAAATCCACACTGACCCAAAAAAAAGCTTACCATATTATTCATTTATCAGTCTTTTCCTGACTAAAGGAAAAGCAGAGAGTATGAGCACTGTGAAGGGTAGAATAGCATAGTAAGTAGTGTGTTTTCTTTAAGAAGATATATTAATGTGATAAAATTGATTTTCAAAAAGGAAAGAAAAATTGTGGTTTTTTAGCTTTTAGAACAATTTGATAAGACTCCATGGCAGTATCCTGCAGAGAGGCTGCATTGAAGGTTACCTTAGACCCCATGAAACTAGACACTTCAGGTTCATGGCTCACTTAGTCTGTGACATACATGTTCCTAGAAATCACAATGCTGCGTAGTCATACAGTAAAAACCACAAAGATGTAGTGCTGGGGCTAGTTGGGACTGTTTCTGTTAATGCCCCAGGTGGTTTTTGTTGAGCACCAGAAGGCATATGGCTAAACAAAGGCATTTACCTTGCTATTTTTATCTTCATTCAGGAACTGTAGAATAGTGAATATAGTGTACCCTTATTCTCCAGCATGTGGAGGGAGAACTATATTTCCAGACTGTCTTCTGTAGTCCTTTAATTTTAAATTTAGCGCCACATTTCAGATGAAAATATTCAGGGATAAAACTTTTTCTAAGGCACTTGTTTTCCTAAGAATACTCAGATTAAGGTTATTTAGTTTTGTTTAACCCAGTGTTTCCTAGCAATCTTTACTATAGGACTTCTTGGTATCTTTAATATGCTAGTATGCATTGTGGATTTCCAGGAAGAGAGATATTCTATGGCTTATTTGATTGTGTCCCAAATTAGGACTATGGGATAAGTCCCCCACCCACAGGATTGTTCAGTTAGCTTCTGAGGGTGGCCATGAAACAGCCATTTGGGAATCTTATAGCTTATAGTTGTTACCTATTTCCAATTTAGTTTGGTAGTGGCTTACTGAAATTGGTTATTTTCATTGTATCTCAATCTAATGTAGAGTATATTCCTCTTTATTGTTTTAGTAATTAGTTTCCCCAAATCCCTGCCTACACAGTATTCTACCATGTTCAAGAACAACTGCCCTTGCCAAGCAGAGTGATTCATGCCAGTAATCCCAGCAACTCTGGAGGCTGAGGAGGGAGGATCACAAGGTCAATTTAGCAGGATCCCATTTCAAAATTAAAAATAAAAAGGGCTGGGAATATGACACAGTGGTAATGTACCCCTGAGTTCAATCTCCAGTACCAACAACTGCCTAGGATTTTAGGCTAAGCAAAGGAGCAAATACTATGGACATTTGTTGTTGCTTCAAAACTACCTTCCTTGTCAAAGGTAAGACTTCCAAAAAAGAGGGCTGAGATTGTGGTTCAGTGGTAGAGTGCTCACCTAGCATGTGTGGGGTGCTGGGTTCGATCCTCAGCACCACATAAAAATACATAAATAAAATAAAGGTATTGTGTCCAACTATAACTAAAAAAGAATATTTTTTTAAAAAAGACTTCTAAGAAATTATAGTGTTTTTAATTTGAAATTATAATAATGCAGATTAAGGAAACATTTGAAAACTATACATGCTTAGTGTAAAAGAATATATTTCATAATGTATTCTTAGATAAGGTTTTGTAGAGATTTTACACTTGATATATCCCTTAGTGTCCATGGGATAATTTGTATACTCAGTGTTCTAAGGATACATTTACAGTCCTCCAAATAATCGAGTAGCTTTTTCCTCTCATACTGCTATCCTTGACAAATCAGTCTAAACATTTTATATACATATCCTTTGGTACTGGAGATTTAACTCAGAGCCACTTTACCACTGAGCCACATTCCCAGCATTTTTTTTCTTACTTTTTATGTAGAGACAGCATTTCACTAAGTTATTGAGACTGGCTTCAAACTTGCAATCCTTTTGCTTCAGCCTCCCAGATCTCTAGGATTACAGGCATGCACATAACATCTAGCTTAAAAATTTATATTAAAGAAAGAGAATGTCTTTACATTTCTTTATTTTTCTATGATCCATGTAAATATGACTAAAAGTTTTGTGCTAATCCCACTCTCTGTGACACGCCCCTGAGTTTTATTTTAGTTTTGTTCTTCAACAGGCTTGATGCTCATACCTCTGGAGCAATAGGAATTGGTTTGGGATTTGTTATTGCAGTTGCTATAGTGGCTAAAGATAGTAACTCTTGGTTTCTGTGAAAAGGGAGACAGTGCACTTGAGTTTTCTGCACTGAAACTGGAAACCATGTACAGGTAAAGCAGTTCTGAACCAGATCATCTCCTTTTCCTAAATGTGAAAAATTATACATGAGACCCATTTGCCTAAAAATTACCAGGTGTTCTCCATGTGGCTAGGCACTCTGGGCATAGCACTGCACTAAGTGTTGACAATCCTAGAGTAAGGGTCTTTACTCTTTCAGAATAATGTGTTCATGGCTTCCTCAACTGCATACTAAAAATTTGCAAAAGTGTGGAAAATTGTTTTGAGGTCACTGAAAAAAAATTAGTACTAAAAGAAGCTGTTTCCCTTTACAAAAATAAAACTTCATGTGGGCCATGGTGGTACACACCTGTAATCCCAACAACTTGGGAGGCTGAGGCAGGAGGATCCTGAGTTCAAAGCCAGCCTCAGCAAAAGTGAGGTGCTAAGCAACTCAGAGAGACTCTATCTCACTGATAGAGTCTCTAAATAAAATACAAAATAGGGCTAGGGATGTGGTTAGTGGTGAGTGCTACTGAGTTCAATCCCTCGTACAGAAAAAAAGAAAAATAAATAAACCCCGCTGGGATGTGGCTCAGTGGTAAAGTGCCCCTGCGTTCAATTCCTGGTACTAAATAAATAAATATATAAATAAATCTCAGCATATGTCTGATTTCTATTTGAATGCTTTCACCCAAAACATTAGATCATTAAACTATACCATTCATTTTGATCATGGTTTGTGTTTCTTGGGGACCATCTTTACTTTTAGGAAATATACCCTGAAGTGCTTAACAGTAAAGTATCACAATATATGCAATTTACTTTCAATTAGTTAAAAAATGTATATTTATAGAGCCAGTTAAAGCCTTGTTAACAACTGGTGGATCCAGCTGAAGGATACTGTATATTTCTTCAATACTCCTATAGGATTGAAAATTAACCAAATAAGGGAAATATGTCACTCAATGAAAACACCATTGCCCAACATGCTTTTCAACATTCTTTACACTACTAATCATAACTGTGTGCTCTTTGCATGATAAGTATCACAGTAACCCATGTATCACAAACAGATGCTTATATTTATCTGTGATATCCCAGTGCAGGGATTCCTACATTCCTTGTTATTTCATAATCCTTTCATAGAGGATTATGAAATAACAAGAGAAATAGGACTGCGCTTTTCTGGATGACACTTTTCTCATACTTTCAAAGACTCTTATGACCTCAATTTAAGAACCATCATCCTAAAAGGACACAATCCCTTAGGCCACAAGGACCTAAGTTTAATAAAGATGACACAAAATCAATGAGGATATCAAATCTTGTAAAACAGTGTAGAAAATGAAAACCAGAGATAATTTTCTACCCTTTACTTTGGAAAACTCTTTTAAGGGTGACTTTGCAGGGTGTGGTGGTGCACGCCCATAATCCCAGTGACTGAAGGATCACAACTTAGACACTGTCTCAAAAAATGAAAAGGGCTGGAGATATCGTAAGGTCCTTGCTTAGCATTTGGATGGCCATCTTAAATGACAGTCACCATTTTAAGGAAAAAGTTTCACTTTCCTGCCCCAGGGCCTTTCTGAAAAAGACTCACCACTCCCTCATACCAACCCAACCCTAACCATCTGCATTAGGACCCAGCCGCATTAGGATCCAGACGGCTCTGAGCCTCCCCCATAAAAGTCCCAGAACTCAAGCCTGTTTTGCCTTTCTCTCCTATAGTGAGATGGCCTTTATTTGTCAGCTCTGACAAACTCTCATGTGTATCTCTGCCTGGTCTCCATCTTTCATGTCTCGCTTACCCATCTCTCATTCCTCACTTTCCCTTCAGTAGTGATGCACCCCTGCATTCAATCCCCAGTACTAAAAGTAAACTAATTTATGTTTCAGGTTTTTTTCCACCTCTTCTATAAAAATCGCTGAGTGATGAGACATGCGGTCTCATGTAAGAGTAGCTACTGATGGCTACCAACAGAAAGTATGACTCTATTAAAGAACTTCATGGCAGTATCTTCCCATTATCACACTCCACAGGGCCAGTGGATATCTTACATACTTCTCTAATTCTCACTACCACCCTCTAAGGGTGAGGTAGTGAGATGAAGAAATTAAGTCTCAAAAAATTTAAGCAAATTATTATTCGAGGCCATGACAGTTGTCCCCAGCAAAGCTCTGA